GATAGATAGATAGATAGATAGATAGATAGATAGATAGATAGATAGATAGATAGATAGATAGATAGATGATAGACAGACAGACAGTCAGACAGACAGATGTAGTAAGGAGAAAAGAATGGGGAAGGGTGGGAGAAGGAGAGAGAGAGGGAGGGAGAGATACCGGTAATAGATGTAATTATGATAGACAGATAGACAGAAAGGCAGACAGGCAGACAGACAGAGGGAGAGGAGGGAGAGGAAAAGAGAGATATAAGTAGGTGCAGATAGTCCTCTACATAGGACCGCAACTGGAACCAGAATTTCCATTATTAAGCAAGGTGGTCCTTAAGTGAATCACATCCAATTTATGATCTTTTCGCCATGATTGTTAAGCAAATCACTGCTGTTAAGTGAATCATGTGGTTGTCAGGAGAATCCAGCTTCTCTCAATGACTTTGCTTGTTGGAAGCTGGCTGGCAAGATGGTGCAAGTGGTGATCAAATGTTCTCAGGACGTTGCTACCGATGTAAATACATGCCCTTGGCTAAGCACCCGGATTTTGATCACGTGACTGCAGAGATGCTGCAATGGTTTCTATGTGAGGAACTGGTTCTCAGTAATTTTTTTCAGTGCTGTTGTAATTTTAAACAGTCACTAAATGAATGATTGTAAATCAAAGATTTCCCCCGCACATGAAGTCATAAATTATTATTTCCAAATCCCCGTAATGCCCTTGTTAGAGTCAGAATCTGAGGGAGAGGAGGAACAACCAACAGGGAGTGGAGATGTGGCTCCAGAGGTTGTGGAGGAGGCTGGGGAAGGGCAGAGTCAGGCTGGGCAGTCAGAGAAAGAACCAGGCCCATCCCCTCTTCATCCTAGGACATGCAGGGAGGAACAGGGAAGGAAACAACTTGGCTTACGAGAGAGGAAGCGGCCATGATTCCCCTCATTGGTTGCAGCTGGGAGAATAGTATATAAGAGAGACAGTTAAAACACAGCGTTGCTAGAAGCAAAGTGTGTTTTATTTTGGGCTGAAGTTATCTTGGTTGGTGTCCTTCCAACAGACTGTGCCTTGTTATCTCCTTGAAGTTAGTAATTACTTATCCTGGTCCATTGTGGAAATTCCTTCATTGTAGTTTGTTTTGGTTTTCTATTTCACCTCTATCTGCTCATTAAGTTCGGACTGTATTGCTTTCTTTTGAAGACTATTTTTGAATAAGTTTTATCTCCAACTGAGAATTATTGAACAGTGGGGCCAAGTTGGAGGCATTAAAGGACATTTACTTACATTTTGGAAAAATGTTTCCCCTCTCCTCTTTCTCGATCTATTTTGTGCTGATGTTAGTTTTTAGTTTCAAATGCAATACATTTGTATATTTTGTTTGCCTACAAAGCAGTCTCTAAAGAAACATAAAAATGCCTACTGGTAATGATTATGCATGTTGATAGCATTATGTATGTATTCATAGAACCAGAACTGCAAAGCCTTGCCAATATGCTATATTTATACATAACCAGTATCCTTTTACCAGTCTGATTGAAAACCTGACATCCATTGACAATAAGCATGGAGGTTTTGACAAGGAAGTGCATTTATCGTAAGCTCTCTCTAAAGCAGGGGTGTCAAACTCGTTTTCATTGAGGGCCGCATCAGGGTTGTGTTTGACCTTGGGGGGCTGGGATGTCTGTGGCCAAGGTGGGCATGGCCAGCTTGAGGTCACTCGTGTTGGGGGCACCTGTGGTGGCCCAAGTGCTCTGCTAGTGACAATGGGCTCCCGAGCTCCATTTTTGGCTGCAACGGCCTCCTGCAACCTTCTGCCAGCAAAAATGGAGTTCAGGAGGACTGAGGGCTCCGTTTTTGCTGACAGAGGCACTGTAGGCCAGTCCTTCACTGTTTCCAGGGCAGCCATGTGGGCCAGATCTAAGCATCCGTGAGCCAGATCTGGCCCCCAGGCCTTGAGTTAGGAATATATGAACTCCAATCCAGAAGGTAAACGTATATGGGAATTAATTGATCAACTGGCTAATTTAAAGGAAATATTCATCTGTATCTCATCTGCCATTGTCAAATTCCTCAAGACAAGAGATGACCACTATATCCCTTCAGCAATCAAAGGCACCCGAGGTGGGCCCTTTCTTCAATTTTGTATCCATTAGAACTTGTTAAATTCAAATTTCTAAGATTGACTCTTCCGATCCCAAAAATGTGTGTCTAATGCTATTCTAGAGATTGGAGACAGGCCTCATGAAAGTGGGAGTTAAAGTGTGGGTGACCATGTTCAACTACTGGATCAAACTATCGTTTTTCCCCCTTGATCTTGTCATGCTGGCTATGACAGATTATATTCAATCCACATGGGAAAAGGCAGTGGTATCTAAAATCTCATGCTTGGGCTTCTCTCCACCGTCTTCTACTCAACATGAAATATGTTCAGGCCAAATCTCTCATTAAACAGCATAGAGCAGACACAAAATGCCAAATGCACCTAGCCTGGTCTCCAACCTTTGTTGCTAGTGAATTCAATTAGTATTCTGCTTCTCCCATGTCATACTTAACCAATCTCAAAGCACCAAGTCACTGGAAGACGTTTACATTGGCAGCATGTCATAGCAATAGCAATAACACTTAGACTTATGTAAAGCTCTGAACATACAAAAACAACAGAACGTGTTTCTCTACTGCAATACAGTTGTGCGCTGCCTTTGGATATAATCAAGAAATTGTAGCTGGTATAAAATGCACTGGCAAAATTACTGGTGGGATAATCTTGCCAGTGTAGCATAATGTGTGATGACCCAGGGTGGGATACAAAACAAACACAGTCACAGAAAACAGGTGAAGCCCCTTTTATTCCTTCACTTTGCTTCCAAGCTCTGAATATCTTTGATGGAAGACAAAAAAAACTCCCACACAGTTACACGAAGAAGGAAAAAAACTGCACAAACCAGGCAAGATAAGGGCTGGAGGATGTCCACAGATAACACACACTGGAAAGGACACCAAACTCATAGAGGAACTATAAACTAGAGATATTTACATGATTTGTTTGCAGCATTGCCAGTATACAGATCCAAACTCTTATTCAGTTGTCACAGCTGCAGCCCATGAAGAGGATCAAGGCCCTCTCTTCCCAAGGAGACCACGTCTCTCCCTTATCCTCTCCTCCCTGCGTGTCCTGGGATGGATAGGGGATGGGCCTGGGTCCTCCTCTGACCGCTCAGCTGGCCTCTGCCCTTCCCCAGCCTCCTCCACAACCTCCAGAGCCACACTTCCACTCCCTGTCAGCTGTTCCTCCTCTCCCTCAGAGTCAGTCTCCACCAGGGGCATGACATAATGTCAATCTTAATGTCTCTTTCTGTTAGGTTTCTGGGGGCCATTCAAACTACTGCTTGTTAACAAATCTACATGGTTCAATACCAGCACGGTTCAGATGGCACCTTGACAGACAGTATAGGGGACTGGAGACTAAACATACGAAGAATGGTTACAGGAACTGGGCATGGTTAGTCTAGTGAAGAGAAGGACCAGGGGAGACATGATAGATATCTTCCAATATTTGAGGGGATGCCACAGAGAGGAGGGGGTCAAGCTATTTTCCAAAATACATGGAGGCCAGGCAAGGAATAATGGATGGAAACTGAATAAGAAGATATTTAATCTGGAAATAAGGAGAAACTTTCTGACAATGAGAACGATCAACCAATGGAACAGCTTGCCTTCGGAAGTTGTGGGAGCTTCATCACTGGAGGCTTTCAAGAAGAGATTGGACTCCCATCTGTCAGAAGTGATGTAGGGTCTCCTGCTTGGGCAGGGGATTGGACTAGATGACCTACAAGGTCCCTTCCAACTCTGATTATCTGTTATCTGAGTCTGCTTGTCCAACTCATCTAGAGAGAGTCTATTGAGAGTCTTCCTTCTTCATGCAGATTACAAAGTTACAGGACTTCTCAGTGGTAGCCCCATGAGATATATAAAGCCCCAAACTTCCTTTGCATTTTACCCACTGGATAAATCAGTTCTATGTCATTATGCATTCCCAGCTATCAGGTTGGTTTTTTTCCCCCTGATAGAAGAAGGACAAATGAATGTTATGGCTATTTCTGAGAACTTACTGGAGTGCCGTTTTGTAGTGGTAGATGGCTTCTCTATCACGCCCTTGGTCTTTCAGAAAATTAGCATAGTTGTAGTGCACCTTGGCATTATGGGGTAGAGTTTGGACTCCCGATCTATGGAAGACAAACCACACAGGAACAGCAATGTGAATTACTTGGTTTAAACATGACTGTTTTTTCACACCTTTTTATTCTGTCTCAAGAAACATCAAAGGAGAAAGAAATCTGCTCGAAAATAAATACCTGAAAGGATCCCATCATGCAGAATTATACAGTAGTGATCCACATTAACTATGAATTAGAATTAGAATTAGAAGAACTTTATTGTCATTGTACAAGTACAACGAAACTGTGGATGCACCCCAGCAACTGTTCGCAATACAATAAAACCAAAGCACTTAAAAATGAAGATAAGAAAAATAGAGTACCCACATCTCCATTTGCAATTAGAGAGTACAATATCTACAAATATACACAAAATATACATCCAACACTGACTGTAACGCTTAGCTGAGTATAATACACAAGAGATGGATTGTACTGTAATACGTTATTATACATCTGAATGGGGTATTGAGATTTCACATCTTTTCACATCTTAATGAGGTAGTGACTTATTTGCGGTTCAGATGGCCCAGGGAAAGAAACTATTTGTTAGTCTAGTGGTGTGGGATTTTATTGACCTAAAACGCAGTTCAGACAGCAGCAGGTCAAAAAGATAATTGCCAGGGTGTGAGGGGTCTTCTATGATGGCCTTGATTCTGCTTTGGCAGCGGGACCTGGCTAAGTCTTCCAGGGAGGGCAGAGGGCAATCAATGATCTTTTGAGCTGTGTTTATCACCCTCTGTACAGTTTTCCTGTCCTCAACTGTGGAGCCTGCATACCACACACCCAGACAATATGTCAGAGTGCTCTCCACAGAGGCTTTATAGAAAGCCAGCAACAGCTTCTTATCCAGATTGTTCTTCCTGAGAACCCGCAGGAAGTGAAACCGCTGCTAAGCCTTCTTCACTATGGCCTTGGAGTTAGGGGACCAGGAGATATCAGCTGAAATATGGATGCTAAGGAATCTGATCGTAGGGACAGTTTCCACTCGTTCTCTGTTGATGATGAGTGGCGCGTGGTCCTGTCCATGTTTCCTGAAGTCCATAATCAGTTCTTTGGTTTTATGGACATTCAGTGACAGATTGTTCTGTGAACACCAGATAGACAGGTTCTCTACTTCTGCCCTATATGCCGTCTCATCCTGTCCGGAGATGAGACCAATCACGGTTGTGTCGTCCGCAAACTTTATGATGGTGTTTGTTGCATGGCTTGGTGAGCAGTCTGGGACTTGAAGTGCTAGCACACGTGAGGAATCTATATATATAAAAGCAAAATACCACTCACACATCATCACAAAATTTCCAGAACTGTAAAGCCTACAAACTTGAAATTTGTTCCTCTTGGCTTCTAGGTGCTCACTAAGAAAGGATTTTTCAAAATGACCAATCAGAGCATTAGTATTTCATATATTATTATTAACATGCTCTGATGCTAAGGAGTTCTACTCCCCCTCCCCACCTGAAAAAAAATCTGTTCCAAAAGCAAGACACAAGCACAGGAGGAGTTTCAGTTTCAGTTTTAGTTTCATAGCACCAAGCAGCTTTAGTACAGAACAGTTGAGCTAAGCCACGCCCAGGCTCCTTGCTGTTTCCTTCTTGTTCACACAGCAAATACTGTTTCAGTTTCCAAACAGCCCTGAACTCTCTCTCAAACTGACAGAACACTAGCCAGATGAATACTGATGGATGCTGGTAGTCAGAGGCACAATTCCCCCCCCTTATTTTCCTCCCCCAAAACTTGCCTGATCACATAGTTTTGTAGCAAAGCACGGCTACCCTGCTAGCACTAAATGAAGGAAGAATTTATGGTATTTCATCATAATGGGAAAAGAACACAGTGTATAAAAATCCAAGCTTGTAGCTTTGTCTCTAAAGAAATCCGTGCTCTGACACAAGGTATAGGGACAGGCAACAATGTCAGGATAGCCAGCTGCATTCCCATAAGGAGAAAGTAGCTAAGATGGCATGCAATTAGCAAGGACAGAGGCACGGTTCTCAGTAGCTAGGGAAATATATTTCCTTTTCTTTACTCTTTATTTTTCCCAGTACTTTTCTATCGTCCATCATCTCCCCCTCTTTCTCTCTCTCTCTCTCTCTCTCACTCACACACACACACATACACACCTTCTGCTAATAATACTGATAAATAGGATTGTAACATGAGCTTGATGGATTCTGTGGTCCTGCAGATGGCATAAGGTGATCTTAATGAATACTGTTTCTCTCCACTGAGAACTTCCTTAGAACAACTATTAGATCAATATATGGATGTGGACAGTGAACCCCAAGTCTGATAGACAACAGCCCAAGGTTGCCTTTAACAGCTATGAAATGTCTGACAAAAATCAAAGCATGTCTAATCAATCAAGTTTAACCAATAATGGTGGTGTAGAAGAGGAAGAGGGAGTTTGGGGATGCTTCTATTATTTTTGTTGTCTTTAGGTTTCTATTTACAGAATCTCCATCTATCGAGATTTCTGAAGAATGAGAGAGGAAAGTAAGGCTCAACTTTTCCCAAAAGAGGTTGAATTAAGATACACCCAAGTTAGAAGGGTTTCTACTTTCATTGGGCCTGTACTTTGAAGAAATCTGTCTAGAGCAATATTTCTCAATCATGCTGGCTAGGGAATTCTGGGAGCAGAAGTCTACATATCTCAAAGATGCCAACACAGTTCTAGAACATTTTCTAAATAGTATCCATACAGCTTTATTAAATTCAGAAACTCCTCCCTTCAATTCACTAACAGAGGCGGATCTGAATGTGCAACAAAAAAAAGCACATGTGAAACTGAAAAGAACAAGGAAACTGTTATAAACATCCTACAGATGGAGATAAGGACCAAATAAAACTTCAGTAGACTTTTGTCCAAAAACTGGACAAGGGAAGGAGGGCTATAACAACTCTCAAAAATCCAAGACCTAAATTAAAAATTGATCGTGCTAGTCTTATAGATTCTTCATGTTAATCAATAAAAGCAAAATTTGACATTTTGCTGCTTAGGAAACTTCTAGGTACAGTATTCTACCAAAATTATCCTGGAAAGCCTGAAATCTGGTGCCAGGTTTACCTGGAAAACCATTTTCTAATTAAAATAGGAAATAATAACACAGCCACGTAGGGAAATGTGAGGAACAATAACAAAACATTTTTTCCATTTCTCGTTGAATAGTCCAATTCATAGTTTCCATGAACACTTGCCCAATAAAATCCATTATTGTTCCCTGAAGAAAATATATAACAATTGAACTAGTTGAGAGTAGGAAATAAAGGGGGGGGGGAAACCCACGGTTATACTATGTTTGAGAACAATATGATTTCCTTCCTAATAGATTGCTATGGTCTTTCTCACAGACCAACCTACTGTATAATGCAGTGCCATACATAAACAGTCCACTTGAGATGAAATTGTTGTGAATCAAGAATATGTTTTATTTTTTAGGACACAGGTTGTCCACATAGAATACAAATTTCCAGCTTCCAATAAAGCTCCTATTTTAGGACTAAGAGAAATTTTGGTGTTTCAATAAGTAGGGCCTGATGAAATTATTTGTTTATTTAGTGTATGGCATATCATACATGGACTAGCAATATATACTAAGATTTCATCTAGATGAGTAGAACACAATAAAATATAAATATTAAAAAGATCTATGTTCAAATACCAATGTCTGTGCCTTCTAACCATTGAGGTACAGCATCGTTTATATTTTAAAAAATCAGATATTGGTCTGGTGTATGCCCCCAGCGTACAGCTGGGCATGATATAATCTATAATTTGACATGGGATCATGCAGTCACACAGAGTAGAGGATGCTATGCCCCATTTATACAAAGAGTCCTGGCAGATGCCACGTGAGTTGCGAATTCTATTCATGGCAGACCTCTGATTAAATAAATGTTTAAAGCACATTTATAAAACTACACCAAAGGACAGTTTGTGGGGACAGGGTGATCACCACATTCCCAGTTGGGTAATTTGGCTCAAAGAAAAAAATGAGGAATAAAGAAGAAACTAGAATAGACTTATAAAAGGCACCATTTTAAATGTCTGATTGCATCACTCCGTTTCTTTCCACTCCCCTGCTACAGATTGTGTCTGTGTATGTCTGATTGTGTGTCTCTGTGTCAGTCAGTCTTGACTCCTAGTCAAGCAGTCGCCTGGTCTGGTCTCTATAGAGTTCTTGGCAAGATTTTCAGAAGTAGTTTGTGCTTGCCTGTTCCTAGGACTTATTGGCTTGCCCGGTCTGCATTGAGTGAAGAGCAGGGATGGGCTTCAAATTTTTTAGCAAGGGGCTCTCTGCCCTAATGACTGGCTGGGTGGGCTTAGCTGGATGGTCATGTGGCTGGGTGGGCATGGCTAGGTGGTCATGTGATTGGGTGGGTGTGGCCAACTCGACATTGCTTCTTTGCCCTAATTACCTAAAAAAAGATATATACCAAAAAGTTGTTGATTATTTCATGCATTTAATACTTAAATAAAAGACTGGGTGAAACCACGCTTAATAGCAGTAACTGTGAGAGGGATCTTGGAGTCTTAGTGGAGTATCTGATGAATTATGTGATTCTTATTATTTGGGAATTAATCCCCTTGGAGGCAGGGCAGGGAATTTCTAGTGGCTATATTATCTGATTTTCTCATGGCTCTTCCTCGCAAGTGCTGATTGGATTGTTTATCTAGCTTGCAACAGCAATCTAAATAAACAGGTGTGAAATGCTCTTGGCTGAATGCCCAGAAGTTCAATTAAGCCTATTAAGAGCTTTCCCTTGCTGCTTGTCTTTCTGAGGTTATTGGGGGCTCTCCAAGCCTCACAGAGTCTCTCCTGAGCCCCTGTGAGCCCCCAACAGCCCACTTCTGGTGAAGAGGAATTATCTTTGCCTGCATATAAAATATATAATATAGTAACTATCTTTACAATACACATAATAATGTTAACAGTTTATGATTTGGGGGGTGGGGGGTGCATTACTAGCTGTCCAGGGCCATATGCAATCTGCAAACCATGGGTTTGACATGCCTAAACTAGATCCAAGGTCACACAGTTGGCTTTGTGGCTAAGGGTTCTCAAGATTTCCTGATTTCTAATCTGGTATCTTTAACCACTGTACCAGACTGGCTATTGGGACCGCTTATACAGTCATCAAAATACATGTTGTCCAGCTCATAATCCAATAAATCCTTTTTCAGTTTCAAAAACATACACAGAATAGCAATGCATTGGAATGCTCATACAAAGCCAACATGTCTTTCCCATCCATCTAGCTCTTTTAAAGCCATCCTACCTGAAAAGAGATTCTCTTGATAACCAGATTTCATTCTGTTTCACTGTTTTCCAGGAGAACAGAAGCAGCAGCAAAGCCGAGAAGGACATTGCGGTGATTCCCCACTTATTTAGCCACAGACAAAGTTTGTTTAAACCGTGGACCAAGAGGATGCAGTAGCCCATACTGGAGGGGAAGAAAAGGGATAGGGAACACGTTATACTTCAATTTACAGACAGTACAACAGCCAGGTGCCTTCTTAATAATCCTTTCTAATGATAAATTAATTTGTTTTAAAGAGAGGATAAATGGCAGCATTCTAGCTGATCTCAATTATAATTAGGTCAGATCTGATTTGTACAGGATGAGAGACCATCAGTGTTGAAGACTAGACAAGAAGTCAAAGGAAGATCTTGGAAAAAGGCAGCAACACCTCAATACATATTGTTGTTGAGAAAACAACATGAATATGAGTACAAAGCCTTCAGGTACAGAGATCAGAAATACAGAATAACAGAATTGGGAAGGACCTTGGAGATCTTCTAGTCCACCCCACTGCTTAAGCAAGAGACCCTATACAATCCTGGATAAATTGCTTCTTAAAAATTTCCAGTGATGGAGCATCCGGAGGCAAATCATTCCATCCAAAGTCATTTTCTTCTTAGTGGTTTAGATATAGCTTTAATTAAAAATGTTTAATATTTAATGTCGCAGCCTTAACTCAGTCTGGAAGTTTCATTTTTTAAAAGTATGTTGCTTTGGTTTTATTAAGAAAAATGTACACGGCAATCAAAATAAATAAACTCATAATTATCTAAAACAATCTCATCAACCTAACTAATGAAATTACATTTTCATGCTACTCACAGGATCCTTTGTAAAAAAAATATATATATACTGAACTGCTGGCAATTGCAAATTAACACATTTATAGAACATTAATTTGTTCTTTCAAAATTAAAAAATCAGCAAAGAGTATTAAACTGGAAGGGTATTATGTCTTCAAACATATTAAAATATCAACCCTATAACCAACAGAGCCAAAATATAATTTGTTTTTCCTCCTCCCTGAGGATCAGTTTGCTATTTAGTAAAGCTATAAAGTATAATAAAACAACATGCTTTTACTCCCTAAATTTTCTTGGCTTTTTATAGAAGTACATTAGATATCAGCCAAGCCATACATGGGTACTTTGTTGCCTTCAGATCTTGGTTTTCTATGAAATCAAAAAGACTTTTAAAAAAAAAAAAACTCTTTTTAAACAACCAAGAATATTGTATGCACAAAGTTGGAAGGATTCAGCAATACCTGAAAGAATGCTTGGTGAAAATGATGGAACATGCTGAGATGGCTAAATTGACTGCTTTCATTAGAGAAAATACATGCACTGCTAATTGGAAAACCTTTATGGACTTTTTATGTGAAAGAAAAACAATGAACTTATCAATAGAAGAGAATATATGTAGCTCGAGGTTGGACTGTGGAGTCTTTGATGCTCTCTGAGCTTGGGTTTTTTGTTTTTGCTTTTTGCATATATTTCATTAGCTTCAGACCCTGTTACTCAGTCTGATGATGTAACCTACTTAGGTAACAAAACATCTGCAGGAAAACAACCAAGCTGAGAGAACACCAAAGATTCCATAAAAATGAACTTATTGATGTTTTGATGATTAGGTAGGATAGATAAGAGAAGAAACACAGACGTGTAGGAGAAGGAGATAAATTTATAATTTTACTTAAAAGTGCTATAAAGAAGATCAGAATAATTTCTTTGTATCTTTCCATTTTTCTTTTCCATTTCTTCTTTCCTGCACTTTTAGCTCTCTCTTTGACTTTTCTTTCATTCTTATTTTATATTAGTTTGCATTAGTTTTTATCATCCTTTTTAAAATTGTTAGTAAAATTATAGAATATAAAGGCTTTTACTGATTTGTCTGCAGAGAGTTTCATTTGGGCAATATACAATGCAAAAAAGAAAAAGAAAAGAAAGGATTTGGCTAAGAAGGATCTACAAGAAAAAGTATTTGCAATCCATAGCAATTTACGCTGGTTTGTCTGTTTGGCGTATAGAATGAGGAAGCATTTAGCCCTAATGTCAATTTATTCTTTTTTTTTAATGTGAGCAAATCAATTCTGCTTTACTGCTATCTCCTGAAGGTTTCTATTCTCCATGCAATTACATTTGAATACTTTTGTATATAACACCAGGTAGCCAACAATCAAGCAGAAATACACCCAGCAGGACTTTTTACAATCATGGCTGCTCCATCAGACCATGTTTGATTATGCCACGTCATACTACTCTCTATTGAGGGACATTTGGTGCAGAGAAATACATTCCCCCAACCATATTACTGCATGTACTAGTTCAACAGCTTGTAACTTTCTTTGAGTTCATGCGCTAAAGATTTAAATCTTTCTATTCTCCCCCTGGCTCAAAAGACTATGCCTTAAATAATAAATGGTAGAAAAGGCCCAGCTCTAATCACCAAGTCTTCGGTACTTAACAAGATTTTAAAAGAACTGCTAGAGGGACATGCTTAGTGGATGCCACATCTAAATGGATAAATATTCATCAACTTGACTGGTGGGCCATTGTCAATTACTCTCAGGAGCTGCTTGTCGGAGGGCTCCACCATCAGGCCCTATTGGTTTCCAGATAGTTTATTCTATTCTCCTCAGCACAGGTTTATATTGTGTTTAATATGCTTGCTTTGCTTTATTTTGTGTGATGTGTGAATCTATCCACTGTAGCTTGTAAGCATACTTTATATAACTTATCATTTTACAGCTAAATCAGGTAACTAAGATTTGTTCAACAAACAATGGTGTAGCATGGTGCACAAATGGATTCAGACCCAATATTGGCATTGAAACACACTCAATGCCAGTATTCAAAAGTATAGTATTAATTTTTTAAATTTTTTATTTCTTGGCAATGCATAAGTACCTTTAAAAACCTAATAAAACAGAATTAGTAAAACCTACAATCCAACAAACCCAGCATTGAAATTAAAATAATGCAATGCTTTTCCTTAGGTCCTAAAATAATCCTGAACATTTCTGATGATATTTTGTACAATCCCCAGCCTTAAGATTTTCCCAAGTCTGTTACCTGTTCTCTTCACTGCAGTGACATCTTAACAAGTTGTGATGACATCAAAATCATAACCCATATATCACACCGTGTAATGATTATGATACTATCTCCTCTCATAAAAAGTATGTAAGTTATTTGTGTGCTGATAACAAGACACATTTCATTGTCTCTTTTCCTTGCCCCCCCCCCTTCCCAAGACACTAGATTACCTAATTATGGCTCTATGTAGAATAACAAGAATTAATAATCTTTTTAACCTTACAGCCCTGATACTAACTAGTGAGCTGGGCCCTGTACAGATATTCAAGATTAAGCTTTTCCTCCCATCATTCTTTACCAAGTTCTCCAAGAGCTAGACTTTAACTTCTGGAGGAGAATGTTTGTAGCTCAGAGTTGAAATGAGAAGTCCTTGGTGCTCTCTGAGCTTGGTTGTTTTCTTGCAGATGTTTCATTACCCAAACTAGATAACATCATTGGTGCACACAGGGCTTGGTTAATGAAACATCTGGAAAAAAACAACCAAGCTCAGAGAGCAACATGGACTCCTCAATTTAACCTCTTCTCCCCACAAATTTCAGCTGACTCCAGAAAATAGCTTAAAGTTCTTCCTTCCTAAAAGCTTCCCTCTCAACAATCCTGAAAAAACCAAAATTGTTCTTTCCTTGCTGGTCAGTGATGGGGATGTGTAAATGCCAGACAGAGCTAACTTGAGAAGTATCCCTTGAAAGCAAAGGCATTTTATTCCTTGCTTAGCAGCTGAATTGCCCTCTTATGGAACTACAGATCCAGCTCGCCTTGGGGCAGGAAAGCCATCTTAGAAAAGAAGGTACTCTATGGCAGTAGCCTGTATTGAACAGTTAATCCTGAAGGAGAGAATCTAATTTTCACAATGACTGACAGGCTGAGGCACTATCTCTAGGTGGCTTAAAAAACAGGTGACGCTGGGGGAGAGAATATGAGAGTTTTATATAATTACAAGTGACATGGAAGATTAGGAGAACGGTATTTTTTTCTGCCAATTACACAATACTTGAATTCAGGATCATCTAATTAAGGTGACTGGCAGTAGGTCAGAAATGACAATGAGAGACAGCTTTTTCAGGCACCACAAAAATAGCTTATGGAAATTCATTGCCCCAAAGCAGTTGCACAGAAAATGAAAGTATTGTAGAAGAGATTCCAAATGTTCAACCTCTGGAATCTCCCATTAAAAGGATCAGGTTGCAGATCCCTTGTAAACAGGCTGGTGAAATTCATCAAAGCAAGACTAGATCACAGCTAGTACATTAACCATGTAAACTATCTGGAGCCGTTTGAACTGTACTGAATAAACAACATATGAACTAAATAACTAAATAAACAAATCTATAGCCTTATAACACTTTATACAGGTAGTCCTCTACTTGCAACAGTTTATTTAGGAAAAAAGTGACTTATGACCATTTTTCACAGTTGCAATCTTTTCTCTTTTTTTTTTTTTGATGGAAAGGTCGTTTTTCAGATATATTTTTTATTAATTTTTTCCAATATACATCCATATTGTGTGTGAACAGAGTTGGTCCTGGGTCTCATTCATATTAATCCAGTTCATAACAATAGTAAGCTCTATCACATTTGTCAAATTTAAGTAATCCTCATTATATTGTTTAAGCATACACCAACTAAACAAAAAACCTAACTCCTCATCTTTATCTCTGTCTTCATCTGTGCCTTTCTTGTTCAATCTAAACATTTCTTTATATATGTAAACAAAATTAGTTCTAAGTATCATTCATATTGATCTGATTCATGCTAACAATATTAGTAATCTCTATCACATTTATCAAATTTAAGTAATTCTCATTATATTATTCGAAAAATACATAAAAGAAAATGCCTAACATCTGTAAACTTCTAGTCTTTCTATTATTTTTATTCATTCTATAAAAAATTTATTCTAATATTTCCCCTGTCTAATTTTATTTCTGCCTCCTTTAGCTTACTTAGGCTACTTAAATATGTAAATGGCAATTCTTTTTATCCATCATCTCTTCTCCTCCTTAGTGCCTCATTTCTTATCGATTTTTTAATTCGCCTCCCACAGTT